TGTGGAACACGCTCCACGAGGAAATTAGGTTATCGTCTTCCCTCCTCTCCTTCAGAAAGAAGTTGAAAACATGGATGTGGGACCAGGCCTTCGGGTAATTATGCTGACAATGAAAATGACAATTATGACAATTGCTACGGTAATAGACTATGGACAAGCTTGAAGGAATCTCCAACCATAGAATTCAGCTAGATAAGGCCAAAAGGCTGTTATTTTTAATTGAATTGACTTAATGTTTTAACTCTGTGTAATTATTGGTTTTTTTTATTATGTATTTTATTATGTGTACATGGAGACATCAAATTGTTGCCGGCTGGAAGCTGCCCTGAGCGCCCCCCCCCCGGGGGGGGGGGGGTTGAGAAGGGTGGGGTACAAATATCTGAAATAAATAAATAAATAAATAACATTTTCTAACAAAGAAGTAAATTAGAAGTAGACTTGACAGCAATCATTGCCATCTTCTTCTCCTCTGTTTGCATCTGGCCCAATAAAGTCTGTAGAAACATCCATGCTTGAAGCAAGAATATTTTAATGTATTGTTGAAGGCTTTCAAGGCCAGAATCACTGGGGTTTTGTGTGGTTTCTGAGCTGTACGGCCATGTTCTAGCAGCATTTCCTCCTGATGTTTCGCCTGCATCTGTGGTTGGCATCTTCAGAGGATCTTTCCTCTGAAGATGCCAGCCACAGATGGAGGCAAAACATCAGAAGAAAATGTTACTAGAACATGGCCATATAGCCCGGAAACCACACAACACCCCAAGAATATTTTGCTTTTTGAGGCAAAGACAAGATGAACCAAGACACCAGTCATTTCACACCTGGAAGCCATCTGCACTGACAGTTGAATCTGAAGCAGTGGTTCTCAACCTTCCTAATGCCGCGACTCCTTAATACAGTTCCTAATGTTGTGGTGACCCCCAACCATAACATTATTTTTGTTGCTCCTTCATAACTGTCATGTTATTACTCTTATAAATCGTAATGTAAATATCCGATATGCAGGATGTATTTCCACTCACTGGAACAAATTTGGCACAGATACCCAATACACCCAAAGGTGAATACTGGTGGAGTTGGGGGAGGATTGATTTGTCATTTGGGAGTTGTAGTTGCTGAGATTTATAGTTCACCTACAATCAAAGAACTCTACCAGCGATGGATTTGAACTGAACTTGGCACACAGAACTCCCATGACCAACAGAAAATACTGGGAGGCTTTGGTGGCCATTGACCTTGAGTTTGGGAGTTGTAGTTCACCTATATCCAGAGAGCACTGTGGACCCACGCAATGATGATCTGAACCAAACTTGGCACGGAAACTCAATATGCCCAAATTATGAACACTGGTGGAGTCTGGGGAAAATAGACCTTGACAATTGGGAGTTGTAAAGCTAAAGGTTTTCCCCTGACATTGTGTCCGACTCTGGGGTGTGGTGCTCATCTCAATTTCTAAGCTGAAGAGCCGGCATTGTCCGTAGACACCTCCAAGGTCACGTGACCAGCATGACTGCATGGAGTGCCATTACCTTCCTGCCGGAGCGGTACCTATTAATCTACTCACATTTGCATTTTTTAGAACTGCTAGGTTGTCAGGAGCTCACACCGCTCCCCGGATTTGAACCTGCAACCTTTCGGTCAACAAGTTCAGCAGCTCAGTGCTTTAACCCACTGCGCCACCGGGGGCTTGAGGTTGCTTGGATTTATAGTTCACCTACAATCAAAGAGCATTCTGAACCTCACCAACAATAGAATTGGGCCAGACTTCCCACAAAGAATCCCCATGACCAACAGAAAATAATGTGTTTCTTGATGGTCTTCGGCAACCCCTCTGACACCCACTCGCGACCCCCTTAGGGGTCCCAACCCCCAGGTTGAGAAACACTGATCTGAAGTCTGTCCTGATGAAAAGATGGGATCCACGGATAGCAGACTAGCCTAGTTGGTGGAAATAAACTGACCAACACACACAGGTGTGTCTTCCAACATCTTGTGCTCTTCAGTATCTTTGTGCTGAGGCAACTCTCTCATCCCAGTCAATGATAGGGACAGTCTTGAGTCAATTGGGCTTCTCCACTTGAATCTATTGAACGAACCAATTTCATATAGTTCCAAGCTAAGGCTGAGTCTCCCTATTTTAGAAGCCTTCACTACTTCAGTTAATTGCTTCCTGTACATTTTCATGGCAGATGCATCCTTAAGTTGATGTCTTCTTCTGATCTTTCCTTTGGAAGGTAGGGAAAAGAGGCCTCAAGGGGAACATTTATTCTCCAAGCTGCAATGACTAATTTTTCCTAAATTAAAAACTGAGTGTACCCCTTTTATATAAAAAAGCCTCGACCTTTGACTTTTTCTTACATTCTCTCATTATAAAGAAGGAGTCCTGAAGGCATCTAACAAATGAGTCACAAGCCCACTTACTCAAGATTGCTATAGCAACCTTCAGTGGTACAGAAGTGGTTCGGGGTTTGCTTGCAAGCTTCATTTGTAAGGAAAGGAAAGTCAAATCTGCCAGCAACAGCTTGAAGGGAAGGGTGAAAAAAGCCAAGCATGATGAATATCCTGATTTGCAGAGCTTTTTTTCCAAATAATTTTTATTAAAAACTAGCTGTCTCCTGCCACATGTTGCTGTGGCCCAGTCTGGTGATCTGGAAAATAAAGTAATGAGAAAGTGTTGGTTTCTAATATTTGTAACTCCTTTATGCTTGTGAGTAAACAGTATTTCTTGTTGTTTCTTTGTCAGTGTTGATGTGGAGAGTGTCTGGTTTGCCTACTCTGGAATATGCAACGTATCATTGTCCTTCTTTAAGGGTCTCTTTCAAATCTGTGATACTATATCTCTCTCTGTGTGTGAAAATCATATCTATCTATCTATATTTATGACTGGATGGCTCTTTGTCAGGAGGGCTCTGATTACATTTTCTTGCCCTGATGAAGAGAGTTGGACTGGATGGCCTTAAGTATTTTCTGTTGGTCATGGGGATTCTGTGTGGGAAGTTTGCCCCATTTCTGTCGTTTGTGGGTTTCAGAATGCTCTTTAACTGTAGTGAACTATAAATCCCAGTAAGTACAAATCCCAAATGTCAAGGTCTATTTCCTCCAAACTCCATCTGTCTTCATATTTGGGTATATGGAATATTTGTGTCAAGTTTGGTCCAGATCCATCATTGTTTGAGTCCACAGTGCTCTCTGGATGTAGGTGAACTACACCTCCCAAACTCAAGGTCAATGTCCACCAAACCCTTCCAGTGTGTTCTGTTGGTCATGGAAGTCCTGTATGCCATGTTTGGTTGAATTTCAGCATTGGTGAAGTTCAGAATGCTCTTTAATTGTAGGTGAACTATAAATCCCAGCAACGACAACTCCCAAATGTCAAGGTCTATTTCCCTTAAACTCCATCTGTGTTCATATTTGGGCATATGGAATATTTGTGCCAAGTTTGGTCCAGATCCATCATTGTTTGAGTCCACAGTGCTCTCTGGATGTGGGTGAACTATAATTTCCAAACTCAAGGTCAATGTCCACCAAACCCTTCCAGTTTTTTCTGTTGGTCATGGGAGCCCTGTGTGCTAAGTTTGGCCCAATTCCATCATTGGTGGAGTTCAGAATGCTCTTTGATTGTAGGTAAACTATAAATCCCAGCAACGACAATTCCTAAGTGACAAAATCAATTTTTTTTTTAGTGGAGGACATACTCTTTCTCTCCCTCCTTTTCTTCTCCTCCTCTTCCCCCCCCCCCTTTCTGTGTCTATGTGTTTTGTGCTTGTCGAAGGCTTTCATGGTCGGAATCACTGGCTTATTGTAGGTTTTTTCGGGCTATATGGCCATGTTCTAGAGGCATTCTCTCCTGACGTTTCGCCTGCATCTATGGGAGGCCCTGCTCTCGACCCCGCCTCTATCACAAGTGAGGTTGGCGGGGACAAGGAGCAGGGCCTTCTCGGCGGTGGCCCCCAGTCTGTGGAATTCACTCCCAGGGGAAATGAGATCTGCAACATCGCTCCTTTCCTTCAGGAGAAAACTAAAAACATGGATCTGGGACCAGGCATTCGGACAATCGGGCAGATAAAGAAAGAACTTTGATGATGACTAGGAAATGATTAATGGATTGGATCTATGGAACTCTGGAAAACGAAATGCTGGATATGAGAATGGTTTATATGATGTGTTATATACTGGTTGTTTGATTGTTTTAATTGTGATAACTGTTTTTAACTACGTTTTTGTATATTATGTGTAAATTGTACAGGCATCGAATTGTGCCTTTTTTGTAAGCCGCCCTGAGTCCCCCTTCGGGGGTTGAGAAGGGCGGGGTAAAAGTACCAGAAATAAATAAATAAATAAGCATGCTCAGAGGTAGTGATGTCTGTTGGAACTAGGAAAATTGGATTTATATATCTGTGGAATGACCAGGGTGGGACAAAGAACTCTTGTCTGCTGGAACTAGGTGTGAATGTTTCAACTGACCACCTTGATTAGCATTTGATGGCCTGGCAGTTTTTTGGTGTGGCTTGTTAGTGCCTGGGGGAATCTTTTGTTGAGAGGTGATTAGCTGTCCCTGATTGTTTCCTCTCTGTTGTTTTGCTGTTGTAATTTTAGAGTTTTTTAATACTGTATTGTCGAAGGCTTTCATGGCCGGAATCACTGGGTTGTTGTAGGTTTTTTTGGGCTCTATGGCCATGGTCTAGAGGCATTCTCTCCTGACGTTTCGCCTGCATCTATGACAAGCATCCTCAGAGGTAGTGAGGATTTTTTTTAATACTGATAGCCAGATTTTGTTCATTTTCATGGTTTCCTCCTGTCTGTTGAAATTGTCCACATGCGTAGTCTGACATGGTGATTGGTCCAGCATTTCTGTGTTCTCAAATAATATGCTGTGTCCAGGTTGGTTCATCAAGTTGTGCTTCTTTTTTGGACTACAACAAGAACCCAGTTCTCAGGTTTAGTGCCATCACCCAAGTAGGAAAAAAATAAAAACCCCAAACACCACACATGGACAATGTAACTAAATATTTAGCAGTGAACCTTTTATTTTTTTGATTTCTCATTTTACAAAAGGCAGTTATAAAAAATGAGCAAAGTTTTCATAATTCCTTACTAGATTTGTGAGTATAAATGAAACACACACGTTTGCTCCTAAGTCATGCACTTTCAAGCTGTTCCCAGGTCTGGAATGCACAAAGAAATTCATTTTTTAAAAATTTATAAGCACTTTTCTCCTGTTGGTCAATACTTTTCTTCTCTCAATACAACATGAAATACAACCAAATCAGGAGCACAGATCAAGATTTTCTAGGTCCTACATTCTGAACACCGATAAAGTGATTTCCGCATAATTACACATTGTATCTGAAACAGTGCTATCCACCCACCCACCGGTGTTAAAATTGCTTGCATCTCTTTCATTCAATGGGAAGAACCGTCTTTTACATGTAATATTACATAACATTTCAATACCAGCAGAAAAAAAATGTAATATTAGTGGAGAACCACATGACACCAGGACATAGGCCAAGAATTCCTACAAGTTAAAAAAAGGAGGATTTGACACAGGGATGTGATTATTGACAGCAACCCTGTATCTGCCCTAACACCATTTTGTGTATGTCCTAGATTTTTAAATTACTATGGTGAATTGGAAAAAAAAATATTCTGGTCTTATTATGTAATACAAATTGCAAAGAAACACTGGGTGAGGTAATTATGAAAAACGTTACCACAGCAGTTTGACTTTCAACAGACACTCGTTAACTGCGGCATGTTTCAGAATTTGACTGTAAAATGCAAGCTCCAGTTTCTGGTACTCATAAGCTGCCCTAGTCTCAATACATATTACACGGAATGACTGGCCAAGGAATTTCAAACATTGACCTCATTCCATCTGAGAGGTATTGGTCAAAGACCCCACCCAAAACCAAAAGATAATAAAAACAGAAGACTGTATGTAGGTTTTGGATAAATTAATGGCAAATCATCCTATGCAAACACTTACACAAGTGTCAGTGAAATGCTCTTTATCAAATATTATTTTGAAAAAATAAAATTGCACTTCTATCATTATTCAACATTTAGCAAGAAAAAAAAAAGTCTGATATGCGTATTATGCCACAGATATGAAAAAGCAAGAAGGCAAGCCGAGACAGAGAGACACACATACAGACTACCCACAGGGCAGTGATGGCATTTGGTTGTTTTGGTCTTTGTACCAGCACTTCCTACACCCACGGCAGAAGGGCACTTTTGGCTGGACTTAAACTGTTTTCCTGGCAGTTAAGACACGGACAATGGAACCTACACCTCCAGCCGCAAGAGCCTACAAACAGAAGATCAGAAGCCGTCATGTAAAAATATAATTATGCGGATGTCTACAAACATGCTTCATGCGCCTATTACAAAGGGACTCAAATAATTCAATTCCCTGAGTTAGAAACATTACCATATGGCTTCAGAAACATTAGCTTGCATTAAGATACAAATAACTTGTTGAATGATGTTCTCTTCACTAATACCTCAACTAAATCTATTACCCTTCTGTGTATTATTCGTTTACTTTGCAAATTACAACAGGTTTGAATGAAATCAGACCAAAATTCCATTGTGTACAACAATGCTCAATAAATTACATGTATGATTTATGTTGAAAACCACACAGCATAGATATATAACTTACTATCTGTGCCCTGCCACACGCTGCTGTGGCCTATAATAAGAATTTTCAAAGTAGAGGTAGATATCTGGACTATTATGAAAGAGAGGTACCTACCTATTCCTCCCCCTCCCCTTTTCTTCCCCTTTCTCTCTTTTCTTCCTTCTCTACCTCTTTTTTTCATTCCTTCTTTCGCTCTTTGGTTTCATCCTTCCTTCTCTCTTTTCTTCCTTCTCCCCCTTTCTCTACTTCTTCCTTTGCCTCCTTCCCTCCCTGTTTCCTTCCTTCTTTCATTTTTTATTTCCTTTTCTCCTTCCTTCCTTCTTTACCTCTTTCCTGCATTTCCTTCCCTTTTTCTTTCTACTTTCTCTTCTTCCTTCGTTACCTTTTTCTTTCCTTCCCTCCTTCCTTTTCTTTCCTTCCTTCCCTCCCCCTTTCCCTCCTTCCTTCCTTCCCTTTTTCCCTCCCTCCTTTCTGCTCTCCTTCCTTCCTGTCTGTTCTCCGCCAATACCATGGTAGAATCCCTTCTAACATAGAATGAGTCTATTTAATATAGTAATATATAGTAGTAGCATTATATTGTTGTGGCGTTTTGTTTTGTGGGTTTTTTTTTCAGTGATGGTCACTCCTTGGATTGTGAGGAGTTTTGTTGCCAAATTTGGAGTCATTTGGCCATGTAGTATTCTTTTGTTTTTAGGGAACTCATTATGCACAGAGCATTTATATATATATAGATTTCCTCTCTTTGTGATGGTTCATCTATTCAAGCTATCTTTACAGTACATAGTATTCTAGCTCTAAAAACAGCTGCTTAAAGCTGGGTGTTCTACACAATGTGCAAAAACATAGTATTTTAGCTCTAAAAACAGCTGCTTTAGAAAATAATTATTCAAATATTTATATCTGTAATTCAATTTCTCATCACTTAATTAGTTACTCAATCTGCAATAAAAGCTGAAAATGTTAATGTTTTTAAGAGGTACAACCATCATACTCAAAGGAATTGTACCTTTTCGTGCCACTGCAGCAAGACAGCACTGCTGTTATCAGATGGACTTTCAAATCCTTTGTAGATGTATTTCATTAAAAGATCAACTCCATTCTTATCCAAAGACTGTACTGCCTTTTCAATATCACTGGCTTTAAAAGAGATGAGGACCTTCAGGACAATACTTTCTGCACGATCCTAGAAAAAAAACAGACAATGTCCCAAACAGAGAAGGAATTATAAAAATTAAAATGCTTTTCCATCTAGAGATTTAGATTATAATCCTCTGTGCATCTTCTTGGAAGTCCATTCTACTGACCTCAGTTCAATGCACTTTTGAATACGCATGCACTGGTTGGGAACACTATTATAATTTATTGCAGAAATCCAGTAAGCAACAAGATACTAATTGAACACAGCCGACTAATATATGTAGCTCAGACAGAAAAAGAAATTTGTTCTAATCTTTAAGTCACATCACTTTATGAATACTTCTATGAGATTTTAAATGCATCAAAATTAATTAGTATAAGGTGACAATTTTCCGAATTAGTAAGATCTGTTGCTTTTTACTCAGTTATGAACTTTCATATTCACACAGACCTTTCTTCCATTTCAAGGGCTCAAAACAACCTGCAAGTGTATTCTATACTTCCCCCTTTTTATTTTGACAAAAAGGAGCCTGACAATTCTCTATTAGAACTGTTTGATCTGAAGGAAACCTTAAACTAGAATTTTGCATTACCCAATCCACTGTGAGGTTGTTATATATATATATATATATATATATATAGAGAGAGAGAGAGAGAGAGAGAGAGAGAGAGGTTTGAACTGTTGGTTGGGAATGGGTTAATGGTTGTTAATCTATTTTTCCGACTTTACTATCTTCTTTCAAATATTTCCCCTCTTTCTACGTAATTCTATAAACTTTAATAAAAATAATTAAAAAAAAAAAAAGAAAGATAGGAGGCATTCACTTCTGTTTTCAATTATATTTCCATCCATAACCACTGGCCATACTGACTGGGATCGGTAGGAGCTGGAATTCAAACGATCTGGAGGGCATCGTGTTGGGAAAGAGTACAGTGAATGGTAGGTAAGAATAACTACCCTTTGTTTGGGCTGAATACAATAACAAATGTCAGTTAGCTTAAAGGAAGCTAATATTTCTAGCCACATCCTTTGAGGTCATCCTAGAAATGGAAAGTGGGGTAAGTACAGGGGTTTTTTTTTTTGGTCGTGTCAGCAGCAAGTCGCTTCTGGTGTGAGAGAATTGGCAATCGGCAAGGATGTTGCCCAGGGGACGCCTGGATGATTTGATGTTTTTATCATCCTTGTGGGAGGCTTCTCCCATGTCCCTGCATGAGGAGCTGGAGCTGATAGAGGGAGCTCATCCGCCTCTCCCCAGATTCAAACCTGCGACCTGTCAGTCTTCAGTCCTGCCGGCACAGGGGTTTAACCCACTGTGCCACCGGGGGCTCCCTGATGTACAAATTCATAATGTGAATGAGTCCTAGACTCAAGATTTAGACATTTGAGCCTTTTAAAGATTTAATAGGTGAAAGTTTATTCCTACAGATGCAGTGTCTCATGTCATCCCTTAAAACTAACAGGATTTCAATGGATTTCTGTTTTTATATTGAATTTTTCTCTTTTGTCTCCCAAAATGAAACAGTCGGCAAGATTTGCAAACCACTAAGTAGACCATAAACAACTTTGTCTATTGATTTTAACTGCCTATTTTGGACAGTTAGAATGAGGGCATATTTAAGCAAACACATAGTTTGTGCAATCTAGCATTAAAACAGCATGTTGCATTCAGACTGTTCATAAAACTAAATCCCACTGAATTCATAGTAATTAAGTTAACTTTGTCCAAATTATTAAAATTTTAAGAGAAAAAGAACAGGGAAGGTAATCAAACTGCATCTGGCTTTATTGTTGTCCATGTTGAATACAGCATAATATTCTCATGGTGACCCACCTTTACAGATTGACTCTTGGTGTTGATGGGTGGGTTCTTCAGAGCTGCTTGTAATGCAGCTGTCATATTACCTGTAAAGAGACGTTAAGGACAACACAGCCTTGCTCACCATTACAATTAATAAGCTAGTGATATTTTACATATTGCAAACACCAACTTCCGTTTACAAGAACAGTAGTCCTTACAACAGCCTGGCAATGTAGGTCAGTATAATTTCTGGGTTGGTTCTGAAGCTGAGGGAGTAGTAGCTTACCTAAAGGTGATTTATGAATGTATGGATGAAGTAAGATTTAACCTAGAACTTTTCTGGCTTAAATTCACTCTTTTCTACTATAAGGTACCAGGATAAAACAGTGGTATGCACACAGCTATAAGGATAGCAAAAAACTAAAATGCTCACCAAGTTTGCCCAAGAACAAGCAACAATACAATACTAAAACACAGAAACAAGAAACAGAATTTGTGCCACAGGATTCCATTTTTCCCCTCGTACTGTTTTAAGACGGGGTTGGCAAAGAGCAGTCCATGGCCATTTAAGCTCAGGGGTCAAAACAGTTTGACACCAAATGTAACCTAGGGGATGTAAAGGGAATAGTCATCACCTTTGGAGGCTTCCAGAGTTACCCAGGAGTCAATAGCAATGTTTGGCAAACCCCCCCCCCTTTTTTTTAAAGAAGCTCTGAAATGCCCATCAGGGTGTGAGTTGTGCACTCATCATGTTTTGTCATCCCACACACACACACACTTCAGCATATGTTAAGGAGAGGCGTTTTTAAAATTCAAAACATAGTGCCTAAAAGGGCAAACATTTTTCCCCTTTGTGGGTGCAAGGACAGCCCTCCAAACGAGCCTTCCTAGTTTTCACAGTTGCCCAGCCCTGTTTTAATATCTATATGAAACTCCCAGGTTGAGTCCTCAGAGGTTTGAAAACGGAATACCATCCAAATGCTAATGATACCTAGATCTATTTCTCGTCATAATCAGTTTTGGTTTTTTGGGTTTTGCTTTTTGTTTTTGTCGTGTCAGGAGTGACTTGAGAAACTGCAAGTCACTTCTGGTGTGAGAAAATTGGCCGTCTGCAAGGACATTGTCCAGGGGACGCCTGGATGATTTTGATGCTTTTATCATCCTTGTAGGAGGTTTGTCTCATGTCCCCACATGAGGAGCTGGAGCTGATAGAGGGAGCTCATCCGCCTCTCCCCGGATTTGAACCTGCGACCTGTCGGTCTTTAGTCCTGCCGGCACTGAGGTTTAACCCACTGCGCCACCAGGGGCTCTTAATCAGTGATGAGGTTGGACTAGTGTCTGGATGATATAATGGGCTCTATGAAAAAAAGTGGAATTCAAATACCAGAGGGCTTATGGTTATACTGCAGTTATACTGCTGTATGGGACATCATAAAAAACACATTCTACTGATTGAAAAGGAAACAGATTTGGGTTTTTGTAGTTTTATTTTGGGCTATATGGCCATGTTCTAGAGCAGGGGTCCTCAAACTAAGGCCCGAGGGCCGGATACGGCCTTTCAAGGTCATTTACCAGGCCCTCGCTCAGGGTCAACCTAAATCTGAAAAGATTTGGAAGCACAACAACAACAATCCTATCTCATCAGCTAAAAGCAGGCCCACATGTCCCATTGAAATACTAATAATTTTATATTTGTTAAACTTGTTCTTCATTTTAATTATTGTATTGTTTTTGCACTACAAATAAGATATGTGCAGTGTGCATAGGAATCCATTCATGTTTTTTTTTTTCAAATTATAATCTGGCCCTCCAACAATTTGAGGGACTGTGAGCTGGCCCTCTGTTTAAAAAGTTTGAGGACCCCTGTTCTAGAGGCATTCTCTCTTGACGTTTCGCTCCTGAGGTTTATTGATGATACTGGTTTTGGTACACTAGCTTGTGGCATTTTTTGTTCATATCCTTTTTATTACTTTGAGTAATCTTCAAGTTTTAGAGTTTTCATGTATTATACCTCAATGAAATCCTAGTATATAGAACAGGCTAGAAATATTTTAACAAATGAGTAAATTTTACCTACCTTAATCCACCATACATTTGCAATATGAGAGCAATTGAGAGCAACAGGCTCTCAATTTATGAATTTACCATAAATTAAATAAATTACATTTTTTTCTCAGCTACTTATCCTGGCCTTTATTAATGGCACCCAGACATATTAGAAATATTAACAAAAACAGTCTAAGAAAAGTAAACCCTCGCAAGAGGAAATTCGGTTAAGCTTTTGATAATGCACCACAGTAATTTAGTCAGTCCCAAAATGAGTTTCAGAAAAAGGATTTATTTTTCTAGTTTTCTCTTCATTACTTCTTGAAGGCCACTGAAATGTGCTAGAAAGTCTCCTCGTATGACAATCTGTTTCCATTTTTTATGTTTCCATTTTTATGATATCAATACCAGTTAGTTACACTATCATAGACTAGATGCAACTGTTTCCATAAAAGGTAAGCCACTGCAGAATGCATGTACTTCCTCTACTGCTTCAGTTTGACACCAGGAAATTTGAAAGCTGTGGTCCTGTGACTCCTCCTCTCTCTCATGCCATTAGATTTAGCACCGCTTAATACATGTTTTAGGCCTGTACCAGCAAATCAAAAGATAAAGACACTTTTGAATATTTACAAGCAAACCATACTGCTTGTGTCTAGGATATCCATGCGAACTATAATAAGCACACTTTACTCGCATATTGTGAATACTCAAAAGAGTCTTTAACTTTTACTATGCCTGTACAAACCTTTCACACTGAGATAGGGGTGGGTCACAGCAGTGCAGAAACACTGATTTGGCTAGAGAATGTAAAAAGCAAAAACCTCTCCCAAATATCTGCGACTAAGAGCAAGCAGGAAAGCATGGTTTAAGGGACAGTGAAATATGCACAGCGGGGGGGGGGGGGGGGGGGGGGGGGGGGGGGGCTGAACACCTATTTATACCCTGCCCTTCAGCTACAAAGGCTCCCTAAACAATTACAATTAATTAGTTCCTTGCCATCAAGCTTATATATGACCATTAGCTTCCCACGAGATACTGAAAGTTACTCTTAGAGCAGGGGTGGAGTAAGTACCATTATTTATAAATTATAACCTAACCAAAAAGTTCACATTGTAATTATGGGGTATTGATCAATTTTTCTATGTTTAGTTTAATCATGGGATGACAAAACAGAAAGAGAACCAATAGTTTAGACCAGGGTCCTCAAACTAAACCCCATGGGCCAAATATGGCCCTCCAAGGTCATTTACCTGGCCCTCGCTCAGGGTCAACTAAACAACTTGAAAGCACACAACAACAACAACAACAACAACAACTCTATCTCATCAGCCAAAAGCAGGCCCACACTTCCCATTGAAATACTAATAAATTTATATTTATTAAAATTGTTCTTCATTTTAATTATTGTATTATTTTAAGTGTTTTTGCACTGCAAATAATATATGTGCAATGTGCATAGGATTTCATTCATGTTTTTTAAAAATTATAATCTGGCCCTCCAATAGTTGGGACTGTGACCTGGCCCTCTGTTTAAGGACCCCTGGTTTAGACTGTACACACACACCCTTTCCCAGCTTTCAAAGGTAGGGGCAAAATCAAGGGAAGAGAGGGAGCAAAGGAAGTAAAAAGTTGATAAGGCTTTGTGTATTAAAGGTGGAGGCAGTTTAAAATCCTTGCACAGCTAAGACTACCAAGTGTCAAACTGGCTTGCTCTTACATAAATCACTTCCTGATACGGATACACACCTCTGATCCTTTTATTTATATCTAATTTTGTAATTGTATGATATTGTATGATCTGTATTTTAATGTAATTTGTATTAATATATTATGATGCTATTATGTTTACTCTGTTTGTGTATGAATTTTCTGCTATCAGCCGGCCTGAGTCCCTCTTCGGAGGTCGAGAAGACCGGGTTATAAAAGCTCTAAATAAATAATATAATATAATATAATGAAAAATAAAAAGGCAATAGAACGGCCTACAAAACAACAATTTTATAGAACAAAGGAAGGCAGAGGGAGTGTAGTTCTCTGGTCAATCTATAGTAGATCAGCAAGCCTGATTCCCTAGTGACTCACAACAGGAAAATTATAATGTCCCCAGGCTGCTGAAACAAAGAAGTGAACGGAGAAGCAGGAGGATAACATGTGTTCTTTTTTCAGGGTATATCCACCCTCCTGAGCCACTATTTTGTACATGGCAGGACCCCAGGCTTCAAATAAAAGGTAAAATAGGTCCTGAAAGCCTTGCCTGCTCACCTGTTGTGTGTGCTTTTTAATTGCCTATCAATTTATAATGATCCTTTGAATTTCATAGAGTTTTGGTGCTGAGATTTGGGATATTTTAGAGCAAAATTATTTATTGCTGATTAAAAATAAAAGCAGTGTTGACTGGAAGCAGATTTAATGCGAATAGCATCTGTTACATGCATGTTTTGTATGTGCAAACTACGGGTGATTTATGGCAATCCTATGAATATCAAATGCTTTTCTTAGGCAAGGAATACTCAGAGGTAGTTCCTTCCTTTGAAATATAGCATACAGTACCTAACAGTTATTAACAGTCTCCCATCCAACGCAAACCACAGCAGACACTGCTTGGCCTTGAATATCAGATGGTGCCTAAGGTATTTAGGCATTAGTGGCAACCTTTTTATCCTCAACTTCATATTCAAAACTGTGTGGGCTAAAATAGTCTCTCAGCAGTCATTTGTCAGTCGGAAGTTTATACAGAGATCTTGTGAGGTAGAGCTGTGGGGAACTACTTAATACAAATCTCAGTCCACTCTTCTTTATTTTCTATCCCAATTCCCATGCTGTGTTAATTATCATCATCATCATATTTAATTATTAATCGCTCTCCATCCGAGAATTATAATCTCAACCATACCTTAATTATAATATAATTATAATATAACAGATACACACACACACACATATACATACCACAAGATCCAGTGTAAACATGATATTTTGTTTTTACAGGAAAATTATATGTATATTTATTTTCATTTCATCCCACGAAGTTTGAGTGGATTTATTCCCACATAAAG